CAGTGCAGAACTAAATGAAACAGAGACCCCCAAAATGATACAAAGGATCAATGAAACAAAAAGTTGGCTTTTTGAGAAGATAAACAAAATAGACAAACCATTAGCTAGGCTAACTAAAAAAAAAAAAAAAAAAAAAAAAAAAAAAAAAAAAAAAAAAAAAGAGAGAGAAGACCCAAATGACCCAAATTACAAAAATCAGAAATGAAAAAGGAGACATTACATCCAATATCACAGAAATAAATCATTAGAGACTACTATAAACAGCTATACTCCAACAAATTTGAAAGAAAATGGATGAATTTTTGGACATGTACAAACTACCAAAACTGAACCAAGAAGAAACAGAAAATCTGAAGCAAACAGTTACAAGCAATGACATTGAAGCAGGAATCAGTAGTCTCCCAACAAAGAAGCCCAGGACCAGATGGCTTTACTGCTGAATTCTACCAAATCTTTAAAGAATTAATACCAATTCTCTTCAAACTATTCCAAAAAAATTGAAACAGAAGCTATTCTCCCAAATTCACTCTGTGAGGCCAACATCACCCTGACACCAAAACCAAATACAACAAAATAAAAAACGACCTTCAAATATCTCTGATGAACATAAACACAAAAATCCTCAACAAAATATTAGCAATCAGAATACAGCAACACATCAAAAAATTATACACCATGATCAAGTGGGATTTATCCCAGGGATGCAGGGATGGTTCAACATAATGTAAGTCAATAAATATGATACACCACATTAACAAAATCAAGGACAAAAACCATTTGATTATCTCAACAGATTCAGAAAAAGCATTTGACAAAATTCAACATTGCATCATGATAATGACTCAGAAAATCAGAATCTTAAAAATGTTCCAAAGGTTGGCATCATACAGATGAACATCTTTTAGCCATAACACAAATAAGTTAAAAATCAATAATAAACAATGATTTAAAAAAGATTCATACCATGGGCCGGCCCGGTGGCGCACTGGTTAGTGCGCTGCTTGGGAAGCGCGGCGGCGCTCCCGTCCGAGGGTTCGGATCCCACATACAGACCGGCTCCCGCTCACTGGCTGAGCGAGGCACGGGAGCAACACCGAGGGTTGCAATCCCGTTGCCGGTCCCCGGTCCGGTACGGGGGCAACACTGAGGGTTGCGATCCGTTGCCGGACACGGAAAAAAGACAAAAGACAAAAAAAAAAAAAAAAGAAGAAAAGTATCTCAATACAATAAAAGTCATATACAACAAACCCACTGCCAATGTCATCCTGAAAAGCTTTCAGTTTTTTCCCTAAGAACAGGAAGAAGACAAGGATGCTACTCTCACCACTCATATTTAACATAGGATTGGAATTACTAGCCAGAGCAATCAGGCAAGAGAAAGAAATAAAGGGCATCCAGATTGGAAAAGACAAAGTCAAATTGCCCCTGTTTGCAGATGACATGACCCCACATATAGAGAAACCTAAAGACTCTACCAAAGTCCTCTTAGAGCTGATAAACAATTTCAGTAAAGTTGCAGGGTACAAAATCAACATGCAAAAATCAATAGTATTTTTATACTCCAATAATGAACTAGCAGAAAAAGAAATCAAGAAAGCTAGCCCATTTACAACAGTCACACACACACACAAAAACCCAAAACAAAAAAACCTAGGAATCAATTTAACCAAGGAGGTGAAAGATCTCTACAATGAGAGATATAAATTACTGCTGAAAGAAATTCAGAAGGTCACAAAAGATGGAAAGACATTCCATGCGCTTGGATAGTGCAAGAATATACATTGTGAAAATGTCCATACTATCCAAAGTGATCTACAGTTTCAGTGCAATCCCCATCAAAATACCAATGACATTCTTCACAGAAATAGAAAAAACAATCCTAACATTCATATGGAACAACAGAAGATCTCAAATAGCCAAAGCAATCCTGAGGGGGGAAAAAAAAAGCCAGATGGAGGCATTACACTATCTGACTTCAAATTATACCACAAAGCTATAGTAACCAAAACAGCATGGTACTGGCATAAAAACAGACACTTAGACCAATGGAACAGAATAGAGAACCCAGAAATCATGCACATACTTAGAGCCAACTGATATTTGGCAAGGGCAACAGGAGCTTACATTGGGAAAAGGACTGCCTCTTCAACAAGTGATGCTAGGAAAACTGGACATCCATACATAGAAGGAAACTAGATCTGTACCTCTTGTCATATACCCAAATCAACTCAAAATGGATAGAAGACATATATAAGAACTGCAACTATAAAACTAGTGAAAGAAAACAGGAGAAACACTTCAGGAAGTAGGACTGGGCAAAGACTTTATGAATAAGACCAGGCAACAAAAGAAAAAATAAGAAAAGCACAAAAAAAGAAAAGCACAGGCAACAAAAGAAAAAATAAATAAAATATTTATTAAAATATTTATAAAAATAAATATTATTATAAATTAAATAATAAATTAAATTAAATTAAAAATTTAAAATTAATTATTGGCCTGACTGCACTCTATTATGTCACTCTTTAATGTCACTCTATTATGTCACACTTTAATTTATTATTAAATTAAAAAATAAATATTTATGAATATAAATATTTATAAAAAATAAATAAAATAAATAAATAAGGAAAGCACAGGCAACAAAAGAAAAAATAAACAAATGGGATTATATCAAACTAAAAGCCTTCTGCACAGCAAAAGAAACAGTTAACAGAGTGAAAAGACAACCTACAGAATGGTAGGAAATATTCACAAACTATGTATCTGACAAGGGATTAATAGCCAGAATATACAAGGAACTCAAACAATTTAACAATAAAAAACAAGTAACTCAACTAAAAAATGGGCAAAGGAGCTGAATAAAACATTTCTCAAAAGAAGGTATACAAATGGCCAAGAGACAAATGAAAAAAAAATGCTCAACATCGCTCAGCATCAGGGTGCAAATCAAAACACACTGAGATATCATCTCACTCCAGTTTGACTGGACAGTATCAAAAAGACAGAGAATAACAAATGCTGATGAAGATGTGGAGAAAGGGAAACCTTCCTACACTGTTGGTGGGACTGTAAATCAGTACAGCCATTATGGAAAACAGTATGGAGTTTTCTCAAACAACTACAGATAGAACTGCCACATGACCCAGCAATCCCTCTGCTGGTTATATACTCAAAGGGATGGAAATCATTATCACAGCTCGATTTACAATAGCTAAGAGTTGGAACCAACCTAAACATCCATTGATGGACAACTGGATAAGGAAAATGTGGTATATATACACAATGGAATACTACTCAGCCATAAAAAGAATGAAATTCTGCCATTTGCAGCAACATGGATGAACTCAGAGAAAATTATGTTAAGTGAAATAAGTCAGGTACAGAAAGAGAAATACCACATGTCCTTACTCATAAGTAGGAACTGAAAAAAATAAACAACAACAACAACAAAAAAAAAAAAAAAGAAAGAAAAAGAAAGATAGAGCAATCACAATAATTCCTTGAACTTTCAAAAGAAGAGAATAGAACTGAGGCCAGCAGAGGTGGAAAAGGGGTAGGTGGGGGGGGGTAGGGTGGAGAGGTGGGAAAGGGGTAGGTGGTAGGGAGAAATTGGTAAAGGTCCACAAAAAATGTTTGCATTGTGTAATGATTAAAAAAAAAAGAATAAGGAGGACTTCCCTGGAAAATTGAAAACAGGAGTAAAGAGGAGAGGCTAGGAAATGCAGATATAAAGAATGGCAAGTGGCTCAGTGTGCCTGAAGCACAGACTGTGAGAGGAGAAACAACGGGAAATACATTCACTTGAAGAGAGGCTAGTGCAGCCTGGGGTGCCATACAGGAAATACATTCACTTGAAGAGAGGCTAGTGCAGCCTGGGGTGCCATACAGGCCGTGCTTAGGAATTTATAATAGACTCTGCAGAATGTGTGTTGCAACAGTGCAAGCTAATGAAAGCATAGGAGCCCGCAGACGTGGAAAGTTTTTGGATGCATCAGATAAGGGAGGACAAAGGCTTGAACCAGGGTAATTACAGGGAAATGGAAAGGGACAGATAGTGTATGAATATAGCCTCAGAGCAGGAACTTTGAATTTTTTCCATATGGTACTAATAAAAACTTCAGCTGGCTTTTTTCAACTAGAAATCATTGCAACCAATACAGGCTCAAGTGTATATTTGTGCTGGCTCTCTTTGATGAGAGGAGTAATCTGTAACCTTGAAATAGATTATTGCTAACAATTTATATGGGGCTCATATGAGGAACAAGCCCATTGTCATGAGTGACATAATAGAGTGCAGTCAGGCCAATAATTAAACTAGCTAGCACTGATGAAATGATCATTATGACTACTTACAAATGCAGCTACTGTTTATTAAGTGCCTGCAATGTACTGGCCATATTACATATCTTACCTGGAAAATTGCATGGTCAGTTTTATTGCTCATTTTACATATGAGAAAGCTGCTTAGTGAGTTAAGCAATTTGAGCAAATTTACACAACTAGTAAGTAGCGGAAGTAGGCTTAAATCTTGATTTGTTTGACCTGACATCCTGAGATCTTTCAATAAATATCGCATGTCACCTCTGCTTACTATAAACTGTTGGGCTGGCCAGTTAGCTCAGATGGTTAGAGTGCAGCCTTATAACAGTAAGGTCATGGGTTCAGATCCCTGCACTGGCCAGCCACCAAAAACAAAAACAACAAACAAAAAAACCAAAAAACGGTAAATCAAAGAACCCAGTCCTTTAAAAAAATTAAATAAATATAGTCTGTCACTTATTTATTTCATATAAATTTAGTTATTTTCCTTTTTGAATTCTTGTAACCATAACTAAAAATTCTTTTAAAGCATATACATATGTGTATATGTGTGTGTGTGTATATATATGTATGTATATATATATATACACACATAGGTATCCATATATTCACACACATTTGTATATATCTTGTGCAAACTGGAAAAGTGCCTGTAATTTTTCCTTCATTTCTTACAGCTTCATGGTCCTTTACTCACCTTGGTTGACCTCGTAGACCTGTGTGTAGATATTTCAAAAGGCTGTGTCTACCTGGAACAGATGCACTTCATTCACAGGTACAATGATACTCTGGATGCAAGGTTATTTTGGATATTGACACAATAATCACCTGTAGTTTTGGTAAAACACACAAGATAATTAAACATTTTCATTCCTTCAAAATAGCAATAATTTCTGTACAAAGTCACTCTTTTCTACAGACCTACAACTGTTTCTTGTCTGACAACTGGAACTTTATTATTATTATTATTATTAAATAAGCCTTCTGCCATAGGGATCTGGCAGCTCGGAATTGCCTTGTCTCTGTGAAAGACTATACCAGTCCTTCACGGACAGTGAAGATTGGGGACTTTGGACTTGCGAGAGACATTTATAAAAATGATTACTACAGGAAGAGAGGTGAAGGCCTGCTTCCTGTTCGATGGATGGCTCCAGAAAGTTTGATGGATGGAATCTTCACTACTCAATCTGATGTATGGTGAGCTTAACGAAACACAGAGAAATATGGGCAAACCATCAAATGTTAGAGCCCAGAAGGGATCTTAAAGGGACAGCTGATCTTTTTTGTATGTGAGAAAACAGGAGACCAGAGAAGGTTAAGTGATTTGCCTCAAGCTAAAGTGAAAGCTGGTGGTCAAGGTGGGACTATTCCTGGGTCTCAGCAGTTTCCACCCCTCCCCCAATCAATTTTGAACTTTTATCTTACTAATACGTATAAAATAGAGACATTTACTTCAAGAATTTTATTACACTCCAAAGGCATAGAAGCATATGAATAATGGGAATTGGTACTTATGAACTAATGTCCAACCATGTGCCCAAATGCCTACAATTTTGGAATGCTTGGTCATTAATTTATAAATATACTTTAACTCATGGATTGCCAAAAGATTAAGACATTGGGGATGTTTATTATTTGGACATCTATTTTTGAATAAGACCCCTCATTTTTGCTTGTTGACCCCCAACTGTTGACTAAAGCTGCTAAAAACAGAGATTTGTTCAACGACTTTTAAGCTGGGCTAGCCCTAGGCAAAATTGTGGATGAAATAAAATTGGTCCTCAGTGCTGCCAATTTGTATTCACGCCTTTCCTCTCCATTCTTACTATCACTCTATCCCTCTTAATCTCTGGGGGAAAATGGTGAAATGCTCACCTGCTCGCATCTTGGAGTATCCGCATTTTGATGTACTGAAAGCCCTAGGAGATGGAGGCTTTCAGTGAGGTTTCAGCCAGGGGAGGAACAGAGTGTGCTTGTTTGTATGCATATGTATGTGTGTGTGCACGTGTGTGTGTCTGTGTCTCTGCTGTGTGTGTGCATGTGTACCCCCGCTAAGCCTTCCCTTCAACTTTGAAGTGTTGTTCTTATGCAGTGGCTTGTTCTACTTTTTCTTAAGGCAGCCTGCTTTAAAGTCTACCATTTGCCTTTTATAGGGCCAATAATGCCAATCACAAAGTAGACTCTGATAGCCCCAGGAATAATAATGTTGGAGAAACTACTGTAAACCTGATGTTTGTAATAAGTATAATTAAAGCAAACTCTTTAATATCCTTAGGTCTTTTGGAATTCTGATTTGGGAGATTTTAACTCTTGGTCATCAACCTTATCCAGCTCATTCCAACTTTGATGTTTTAAACTATGTGCAAACAGGAGGGAGACTGGAGCCACCAAGAAATTGTCCTGATGATCTGTAAGTTAATTAGGTTAACATAAGCACTCAAAAACCAAAAAACTGTTCTCATGTAATCTTAAATTTCATTGGTATGGTATGTTAAAATAAAAACTGGAATTTATACATTTGTACATCCCACATAAAATGTAAATTAATTGTGGCACAGAATTAATCAAATACATAATGGTTTCTTTTTATTTATGAGCATGATATTTCACTCCGAAACAAATTTTGGAGACAATATATTTATACGCCTGGTTAAGTGAATTCTAATAAATAAACAAAAGCTCTGTGTATGTGTGTGTACGCACACACACATACAGATTCATTTTATTTTGGGAGACCTGATTTGGCTAATATCTTAATCTGCATATTAAAAGATTTTACTAAATAGGAATATATTGCTTAAAAGTTGGATTGCCTTTGTTGATATAGCTTATATTGACTGATGGGACATAGTATTACTACACATTATCCGCTTATGAACTTAACACAAAATGGCTAAATATTAGTAATTCTATCAAATTGATCCTGGCTACTATTGAATTCTAATAGTAATCCTTAGGGCCGGCCCGGTGGCGCACTGGATAGTGCGCCGCTTGGGAAGCGCAGCGGCGCTCCCGCCGAGGGTTCGGATCCCACATACAGACCGATTCCCGCTCACGGGCTGAGCGAGGCGCGGGAGCAACACCGAGGGTTGCGGTCCCGTTGCCGGTCCCGGTCCGGTGCGGGGGCGACACTGAGGGTTGTGATCCGTTGCCGGACACGGAAAAAGACAAAAAAAAAAAAAAAAAAAAAAAAGAAAAGTTAGTGATTTGGGGTCTATTTATAAAAGAAAAAAAATGCTGTGTTATTATGCTGAGAGTTATCTGCCTCCTTGTGGACAAGCTCAGCAGAAATATTAAATCTTGAAAGTTTTTCCAAGAGGTTTTTTTATCCAAGAAGTTTCTAAAAGAACAAATAATCAACAAGTATAAACTCTATTATGTGCCTGATACCATGCTAAGGATTATGTGGATAACAAAGGTGTTTAAACCAGGGCCACAGCTCTTCAGCATCTAAGAATGTATTTTGAATGAAAAGACATGCACACGGAGCAGTTGGACGACAAGCCAACATGTAATAAAGTGCTAAACTGTGTGGTACAGACAAGTGCAAAAGGAATTAGCGGTATGCGAATGCACACCGTGGTTGTACTGCCTTGACTCTGTTGTGTTATTTAGAGGATTATTCAGACTTGAGCCAAAAGATGATTAAGAGCTGGGCACCTTGGTTGGATGTTCTACTGGGTGAATGTTTTTGTATTATTTAAATCTTCCAGCTAGAAGAAGATTCGAACCACTGCTTGTTTCAGATTTAGCTTTTACAGCTTCTGGAATATTTATGGGGAAATTAGATATATTCACACCTGACCAAGTTTGGTAACAGAGCCAAAAAAAAAAAAAAAGTTCATGATCCTTTTGGGGGGAGATGGGAAAAATATTCTGTAAACTAAGGATAAGAAATTATACAAAATTTGAAAACCTTTGATCTAGGGCTTGAGGAAAAAACCCCAGCACACCTAAATGTGAAATGTTTTAATTACATAGTTAGCAAAGTAATGACTGTTTTGCATCTCCTACACATCTGTCAAACACTCAGAAATTTTCCCCAGAATTTCAATTACACATAATCATCCTTATGCTGTTAGGATTTTATCTGGCTTATTTCCTTCTGCCCCAGGGGGTAATGTACCTCGTCATAATCATGAAATACTTTTGGATATGTACCTTAGGAACAAATCTCTGAATTATACAATTTGACTGATATGTTCAATTATTTTGTTTGGGGAGGATGGAGGCAGATAATAAATTGCTGTATTGTGAAGCAGAAAAATGTAGGTTTGTGAAGCAGAAAAATGTAGGTATGTTGAACTTTGCTTTGTCTGAAGATACGTAAAAATCTAGAAGAAAGAATAATGAGTGCTAGAAAAATACTGGAAAACTATTCCTGATTATGAGTGGGAAAAGATAATGTTTTATCTAGTTTTACTTTAAATAATTCATTCGTTGCATACATTATTGCCCTAATATTGTATAAAAACATAATTTTTATAAAAACATAATTTTCTTGAAACCAAAATTTTCCATTGGAGCTTTTGAAGTTCACTTGAACATCATTAATAAAAAGTAAACAATGCTCCAAGTTCCCCAAGTGCTGTCTGACTCTGCGGCGCCCCGTGAAGGGTTAAAGATATGTTGCCAATCAGGAAGACAAGCTGTGCTAGGAAATGGAGCTCTCAGGGATGCCATTCAATCTGGTCAGGCCTTAAGTTGTCATGATAAAGATTAACTACTCTCCTTAGAGTACAGAGGAAACTGATTTTTATTTGAAGCAGTCTCTGAGATCACAGGCCCAGCTTAGAGGGTTGAAAGTCTGCACTGAGCCACGCTGCACCTCCTATTCACTGCTTAAATACTCAGCACCTGGATGCACTCTGGGCCAGGTGAGCCCATAGATGGCTACACTGTACTCAGCTATTAGTGGAATGCTGGGTTCAGAGCATTCCTGCCCTTCTCCCCATAGCCTGGGATGTATGGTGCAAAGCCCAGCCGTCAGTATTCTCATCAGCCTTTGCTTTTCACGACCACTACACACACTCCTAAGAAGAAACGGGATCAAAGGGCAATCTTTGAGAGCTCTTTGGGTTCAATGACAGAGCTCAAGTGAGAACGCTTTGGGGTTCTATGACAGATGATCAGAGTGGCAAGTGGAATTACTGGAGAGGCCCTCAGCTGTAGGAGGCCACAACAGGAGAACATGGAGGCTCACCATCTTATTTTTACACTTTAAAAATATGTGCTCCTAGATGCTAATTAGGTCTCTCCAGGATTGGGTATAATGAGTAAGGGAATTCTTGAAATCTGTATTTTATGTGCCTTGTTTAAATGCCTATGGAAACTTGCCCCATTAATATTGAAAGATGCTATGAAATTTTCATCTGTTGAACTTCAATTGCTGTATGTATCCAAGGACTTTAATATTCGTAGAGACTAATACTGAACAAGGCTAATGAGTCTCAGAAGTAAAGGGTTTGCATGGTGAGTGGAGGAATGTGAACCCGATATTTAGGCAAATGAGAAACTTCAACTATAACGAGTATTTTCCTAGAACTAGAACCCAGGTAAATTTTAACAGACTTGAAGGACCTGCAAGTTTATTTAGAATAATATGTTTGATTATTTGTGACTATAACTTAGTGTAAGTATATAATGCATGAACAGAATTCTGACAGGGGCATATTTGTGAGGGAAAGCTGTGCCAAAGCTATAGTTGTTGTTGAGAATTTACTTTAAAGATATAAGAAACACATTTTTTAGGATTATTAAATTCTTAAAATCCTCTTTATTTTATTCCATTGCCAGTTTGTTGCTATATTCTTTGTGTAAAGAACACAGTTGTATTCTTTACTTTTTGTAAAAAAAAAAAAAGTAAAAGTTTTATTGCTTTATTTAGCTCTTCTTTTCTTAATCCTCATTTGTCCCTGGATGGTGGAACAGAGAGGTTTTATATATTAAAATGGTCATATGTGTTTGCCATCGGAAAGTTAAGTAAAGAAAAACGATTGAATTCAATATAAATTAAAACCTCCATAGATGAAAAAATTAGGGATATCTGTTTAAATAAATTACATAGATCAAACAGGAGCTTGAACTTTGGGAGGGCAGAGCAAGTGGGTTAGATGCAGGCTGCTAAGTGGCAGCTGTAAGGATGCCTTCTCTCCTTCCTTCCATCTCCTCCTCTTCCTCCTCGCCCTTCTCCCTTCTTTCTTCTTCCTTTCCTTCTAAATAATCTCCACTAAGTATCTTGAATCCTTTGTAGAATCAAGCAGGATATAAATAAATAAAATAAGTAAAAACTTCATAATTTAAATATGACAAATCTTGAGAGATTCTGTTTATGCCTCAGCAATATCTTTGAATTACAGCTTTACTTTCATAAAGGAAATGTTTCCTGTAGAGAATAATAATAATACTACTTCAGTTTCTCCTCTTAACTCTTAGGACAACCCTTGGATTAGTCATCAAGATTCTACTTTAACTATGGGTTTAAATTCCTTGATATGGTATCAGTTATAGTACCTTATTTCAAAGTCAAATGATCCTTCATTGAGATTTTTGTATCATCCCTATTTCTAAATGGCACAGTGTAATAAGCAAATATGTAAAAGATTAAGTTGTCTTTCACTTATTTCTCAGTTATGATTCTAACTTTTTAAAAATAGAGTGAAGTTTGGTATTCTATATACAGAATGTAAATTCCTTGTAGTATATATGAGAAGTCATCAGGTCAACACGTAGAAAGCAGCCCAATGTTAGGTTTCTTCATAATGCCCTGTTATTGAGTACTAACTCTGACCTGAAGTGCTTGTCAGGAAATGAAATAAATGGAAGTGGTGTTTGCATGCCACATTGTAATGGAATGGAGATTGCATTATGATTCCTAAAATAGATGCTAGCTATTTTAAATACAATACCTCTAATGCTTTCTGGGTCATTGTCACCTAGTGATTGGATGTAACCTTGCTCTACCTCTATTGCCATTTTCTGAGTACAAACCACCTATATCTCCCTAGTCTTCTTTAATAGCTTCCAGCTTGCCCCTCTACAGTCTATTGTCCACATATCAGCCAGAGTAATCCTTTAAAAATGTAAAGGTCATGCCTGCTTTAAAACCTTCAACAGCTTCCCACTGAAATGACATAAAATCCAACTCCCTGCCTGGCCTGTGAGACCTGCATGATCTCGGCTTCCTTCTCCGATCGCATCTCATGCTCTCCTCTCAATGACCGCACTTCAGCGACACTGGCTTTCTTTCAGATTCTAAACCGTGCCAAGCTCTTTCCAAATTTAGGACTTTACACATGCTTTTCCCTCTTCCAGTGTGTTCCCTGACTCCCATCCACACCCTATTCCCATGACTAATATCTTATTTTCCTGCAAAGTTCTTTGACTTAAATGTCATCTCTGCAGAGGGGCCTTCTGTGAGCAATTTACCAGAAGGTTACATCTCTGTTTGGACTCATGTTTGTTTTCTTTAATACTTTTTAAAGATCTTATAATTTGTAACTATATATATTTATCTATTGATATAGTAGTACTAATATTTTTAAATACCTCCCAATTTATCTTGCTTTATCAGTTCTCTCTCTCTGCCCCCAATCTGCCTTACAGCTCCAGAAGGACGAAAAAGAGAGCAGGTACTTGAACTTTTAGTAAGTCTGTACACTTGAAATGCAGGCATGGAGGAGAGAGACGGTTATCTAGAGCCGTTTAGCTTCTTGTTAGTGTGTTTAGTACCAGGTATGAGCCACTATAACATACAATTTTGTATACGTATAGTCTAATAAAACAGAGGAAGTGAGTAGAAACCTCACTCCTACGCCCTGGAGAAGTGTAGAAAGAAGAAAAATTGATGGACACAGGCATGAGGTTGAAGATATTGGTTATCCAGGCCAGGAAACCTCCTCTGCAGGATTCAGTTAGTTTAGGTGGGAAACACCAAGGGCATGGGGCCGCTATCCCACTCCCTCCCAGTTTGGGGAGATGTCAAACTGGTCACTGAGCAGGGGATCCCTACGTTGACATGGAGAGACCCAGCATCATTAAAAAGGTAGAATGGCATGTCCAGATGGAGAAAATCTAGCTCACACCTCCAAAAGTCCTTTGTCTCCTAAAAGTGAACATTTTGTTGAGAGCTAGAGATTCTGCCAAAGAGCACCCTGTGGACATTCGGCAGAAACAGTAATGGATTCCCCGGGCCTTTGCAGCAGGTATAGGACATAACAGAGTCTCAGAGGAGGCTCCAGCTAGAGAGAGACCAAGGAAGACCAGTTCAGTGGGGAAGGGCCAAAAGAATAGGTAAAGTATTCATAGACTAAATTGAGGCTGATCACTACAGAATGGACCAGACCAGTCCCTCCTTACTGAATTCCAGATGAGCCACTGAAACTAGCAAAGATCTGGAAGGCACAACGGAGTTCGAAGGACCCCTCACTGAGCTACACTAAGTCACATAAGCCTCTTACCCGATGTATCCTGACATTATCTTGGAGAGGAGAGTGGAGAGGGTAGGGATGGCCTTGAAATAAGGGAAACTGAATTATCCAGAAAACACTGAATATTATCTAAAAAGATTTTTTAAAACAGTGGATTGGACTAGGTTGTAAACAGCACTGCCGTTAAGTGAAGTTAATTCTCTTTGCTAAGTGGGGACTCTGAAAAAGACCTAATTTGTTACAGACAATGTAAAAGTTACTATTTTTTCCTGCTCATATGAGTTATGGGGTGATAAATTTTGTCACACTCTTACATTTACTATGCATATAACCTACAAGGACAGAAACCACACTGCCACATCCCTAGGTCCTGACATACTGCTGGGATAAAATAAGTGTACAGCAAATCTTTGAATGAATACTAGTTAAGAGTGCTACACAGACATTTTTCAGAAAACCACTAGGAAAAGATAATGTTTAATCAACCAGCTATGAATGTCTGGGGAACTGAGTCTCTTAATTAACCTGACAGTGTAACGAAAAGTAAAAGCACTGGAATCAAATTTACTTTTTACCTCTGGTTCTGCCACTAATTGTCTGTGTGGACTGGAGTAAATTTTATATTCTTTTAGATATCAATGTATTTATGTACGTAAAATCGTTTAATCTTAGCTTCAATAAATTTCATAGCTGTTAGTTCCCTTATATGTCAAGTAGACATTTTCCAATCACATATTTATTCATCTATTTATTTGGATTAATAAGTGTTAATAACTGTTGAAATAGTGTCAGCTTTTCAAAGAAAGGTGTTATGTAATAAAAGTAGGAATATCGAAAGCCACTCTTAAATAAGAAACCAAAGCTTTTGTTCTGATTCATTTATATTAATTATGAAAAACTGGCAAGAACTCAAATTCTTTTACTTCTAAAATGACCTTACCTTGATTATCAGAAAAGAGATCCAATCATCATTTACTTTCCCTCTTTACCCACACATCCAGGTGGAATTTAATGACCCAATGCTGGGCTCAAGAACCTGACCGTAGGCCTACTTTCCAGAAAATTCAAGATCAGCTTCAGTTATTCAGAAATTCTTCTTTATATATTATTTCTCAGTGCAGAGATGACGCAAACACCAGTGGAGTCACAAATGAAGGCTTTGAAGGTAAGTTTGCTTCATTAGAATTTTCTAGTTTTCTCTCCAGTGTGAACTGAACAAGGTTAAAACGGAATGTACACAGACAACATTTTAGGATGGATAAGAAGAATAATGTACTGGCACCATCATCATCACAATTGTTTATTGTATTACTCTTTGAAAAAAAAATTTGTATTGTGCACTAAATTAAAAACAAAAAAGGATAGTGCTATGGTCCCTGGATTTATTATCTAAGATAGTAAGGAGGAGAATTAACATGTTAGACTATTTTCATGAGCTCTGTTTTCCTCCTCCTCCTCCCCACCCCTCTCCACCAGTTTGGACCTCAAATGCAGAGTTGAGTTAATTATAGGCTCTTTGTTTATGGTACATTATCATCATTGGTCTATGCAGAGCTCCTCTCTTATTTTGTCTGTCTGTTTAGTCCTTTTATACGCTTGTTCCTCTCCTGTTCCACTTCCTCCCTTCCCCTGCCAGGCAACCATTCCAATGTCTTTAATGTGTACCTTTGAATTTGTATATTTTCCTGTAAAATGTGTATTGTTTTGTATGCACAAATGCTTCTTTTCTTTCTTTTTTCATTAAGCACTATGTTTTTAAGATCCATCCATGTTGCTAGGTATACATCTAACCCTTTGCTTCTAACTGCTGAGTAATTTTGCTATGATTGTTATAGTGAGCTAGGCCTTGCTAAGATCTAGTCTGATTCTATGACTTTGGTATATTGGTAAATAGGACAATAATCCTCTGGAACCATTCAACTGTGGTGGACAGACTAAGCTGTTTAGTTTAATGTAGAACACAAAACAGAATTAAAATACTGTTATCAACAAATTCATTTCCAAAATCAGATTTACTATACATTTGCCTAATTGGCTGCAGAAAAATGAATTTTAAAATATTCCTCTTCTGCTGCTGTAGAAGTCCTTCTTGTTATTAAAAGTTTGCGAGACATTTTCTTTATTTAAATGAAGACATTCTTGCTTAGAAATTAACCTGGCAAGATGGACCATGCCTCAGGATCTCTCAGAAACTGGGCATCTTGGTCTTTGCAGTGACCGACAGCTGTCATGGGGTCATCTACTCTCCCTGTATAGTGCACATTGAGAACTTCACATTCAGTGATGCACTTGACTTATAGTAGGAAAAAAAGAAGCCCAAGGGCAAATGTCTATTTTTCTTGTTTACGGTGCTTCTGACTACCTAATTTGGGTAATGTGATATGAACATAAGGCTCTGCTCATGAAACTTCTTTAAAATGAACAGCTAAGCAACAAGCTGGAGAGGGCTGTGTGTGCCTTGGCCATGCACCATTAGCCTCATCAGAGAAAGCCTTGTGCAATAGTCTCACACTGGCTCCACCCACCTCCTCATAGTGGCACTGAGCTGACTCTCAGAGTGCCAGGGGCAGAGCACATTGGAGTTACAACTGCTACGGGAACCCCATCCTTTTGGAAGGTTCTATACATAAACTTGCCTGTGTGAAGATCACATGGGATTGGGAAAAACATACTTTTAAACCATTGTAGATACCACTAAGTCCTTCTCATTTTCTAAACACTTCCTTAAGGAAACATTTCTCTGAATGAAATTTTGATAAATTTTTAAAAACTTATTTCAACAGAGTTATTGACTTTTGGGCAAGGTGTGTTAAGCACCTGTATTTAATGTGTAGCATTTGTCTGATTTAAAGAAAAAGAAGAGGAGAGAATATTTCTTTTCCCTGAGAAATGAGAGTCAGATTTTTTAAAAATTGTGTATGCAGAGTTTAACAGTGAACTTCACAGCTGTAACTGGTGAGTTGGAAAGTTGTCTTTGTCATGGTACTGTATCTCTATCCACAGGAGTGGTAGGTGTCACCAGTTCACTATTGAATAATACTGTTTTGCTCAAGCCACTTGAATCTGCTCCTGACTGGCCTGGTTCTTATTTCCCATAACCTCACATATAGAAACTTTAAAGGAACCATGATCCGGGGTAGTGTGCCAATACATAAAAGGAAATCTTTTGTTCCTAAGATAGATAAATGGCAATACGTGGGGTGAGAGTTTGGTTGTATTCTAGAGGCTTTGCTGTCAGCCTTCACAGAGACATGGCTGAGATAAGGAAACTAAAATTCTAGATAACACTCATAAAAATAGAGAAGCAGACATAAATGCAGAAATAATTTAACAGGGAATATAATCAAACTATGATAATTTAGACAGAAACAAGAAATTCTGGGCCATGAAAGAGGTATAATTTTAGTAAAAGAGAAAACATCATTCTGTTATTTACAATGAATGTAAATTTTGAAGATAAGGAATAGAAGGAGATATGGAAATCACTAAAAAACTTGACAATTGAGATTGTGACTGAACAAGAGAGGCAGCAAAGAGATGAAATAGAATGAAAGGCAGAGTTTGCATATTTGCGAGGGATAGAAATAGTGGAACAGTCCCTTGAAGGCATGCCTACATTAATTACTTTTTAAATGAGAGAATGTGTTTAATAATAGTTTGTTGCTTTGCAGACTGGTGGGCATATTTAGCAAAGCAATACAATGTTTGTCTTCATTGTTATTGTTGGAGATATATAAGAAGATAAGAAAATCCATTGGAAAGACTTTTCTTTAAAAAAAAATAATAAAGGGCTTAGTATTACAGGGAGCGACAATACCACGCCTATCCTGTGGTCCTACTGACCTAATGAGGTGGAAAGGGATAGAGAGAGAAGATTAGTAACATATCTGGGCATCTAGTAAAAATATCCCAGTGACTTCATCCAAACATTTGTGTAAACATCACCTCATCAGTCCCAGAGAGTTCTACAGGAAACAAATCTAAATGCTCCTCTGCTGTTCTAAACATAGCCAGTCAGCCGGCATATGTCTCGTCTGTAAATACCCTGTCTTACTTGGAAGTCTTTATTTTAATATTGCCCTCTTAAAGAGGTTGCTGAGTGCGTGCTGTCTTTGTTCAGGATATTTGCTTTAAGTTCTGACTCGTAAGTGTTCTATTAAATAATTTTTAAACAAATATAAACAAACAAAACAAAACAAACTCCCTGACTACCACTGTCTCTCATAAGTTCTTTATGCAACAAAATGTACTAATTGCTGAAAGCGTGCCAGGGTCTAGTCTAAATATTGCTGTAAGTACTATGAACCAGTAAAGTAGTTAGCTAATGATTTTTCTTTGACACACGGCAACAGAGTTTGCAAAAAGACTTTATTTGCCTCGTATAAAAGGTTCTTTTTCAAACAACTTGGCAAGCAAAAAAAATTTTTTAAATCATGTTTGATAGGAAGCTTTCCAATATGCTATTTAATGGGTTAATGGTACAGCAATGAATAGGCTGATAACGTGAGTAGTTAGACCTACCTTATAGATTTAAGTTTGTGTTGAAATTCTAAACTTTCCTTTAGCCTAATTTTTTTTAAGCCCTTTAAGAACAGCCTAATTTCCTCAATCATCTGGGCCAATGGACTACTTAAAGTTAAATATCTTTTTTCTTCCTAACCCTTCGTGACGATTTTTATTGCTATTATCACACATAGCGAATTATCCTTATGAGTTTCTCAATGGCTATACATGTTGGCAATCATTATAACTGTTGGATCTTTCCATAGGTATCCAGCACTTTGGCACTAACCAAACTTGGCATTTGATAAAGTAATTTCTTTTTTTCTAAAAAAATCATTTATTTTCGATTATACATATTTATAGTGTACAGAATTGACTATCAGTATTTGTGTACAGTATGTGATGATTAAATCAATATTATTAGCATGTTCATCATTACCAATTGTAATTATTTTTTGTGTCCGTTACCCGGTTACTCCATAACCCCTCATACCTTCCCCTTTCCCACATGTAGTAACTGTAGGTCTGTTTTCTCCTTCTGAAAGTTCAACGTTTTATTGTGGTCTTTCTCTGATGAAGTAATTCCTATGGGGGAGATATTTCACAACACTATGTAACTATTCTTGTGGTTTGAACTCTGCTATAATGATATTTGAGCAATGGAGAGGAAAGTGAGATGATGCCAAAGAGCTTGAAAGCCTGTAGCTCAGCCGTCTTCTTCAGCAGCGTGGGGGTCTGCAAGAGGAATACACACCTGTGATATAAGCAGGGTGTAATTTGTCTGCTCTTGTAATAAGATAAGCTTTGTAGTTTAGGTGTAATACTTGATAAATAGGCAGATCCACTAAATTCCATCAGGAAAAAACAGGTACAGTGGTGCTTCTCTTAGTCCTTTGAAATTACTCCATTTTTCCCATATTTCAATTTAAGTTTATTCTGAATAAACCAAACCTGGGTGTACATCAGGACTAAGTGCAGAAGGTGAGCAGGCCAGCAGCCTCCCCCAGTAGGGGCGCACATTTGGATACTCTCATGCTGGAAGGATAACGAGGAGGAAGGGAAAGACCATCATCCATCTACTAATATGTTCCTGATTTTTAAAATATCATACTTTATGAAAGGGTAGCAATACTTCTGATCATAAATTCTTCATCCAGGTGGTAAAATCCAGAGACTGGAAAGCCTTGATTAAAAACAAAGAAAATCTTTCAATTTACATTGGTATATTTATCTTTACATTATATATTTATCTTTTTGATTCCCTAGAATTTTGTGATATGTTTCAGAAGCTCTGATGTTAGGTTTCAACAAGATTTCTTATACTTTCCTATGTTATGAAGGTCAATCTTTAAACAAAGATGAAACAACACAGCATAATTGTGAAGAAGGCCAATTACTTTCTGGCTGTCTGTTTCGTTGCTGCTGCCCTTACTCCAGACACCTGGGTGTCTAGACTCTTCCTGCTTCCCTGTGACTTGTGGAGGCCACGCTGCCACACACCACCTCCTCAACAGCCCGGCAGCTCTACCCTCATGGAGGGGAGCTGTGAGGACACAGATGTGAGCTGGACAGTCTGGGTTCAAATTCTAGCGTGGCCTTGGGCAAATTATTTAACTCCTCTGCACCTCAATTTCCTCATCTGTTAAATGGGGTTAATACTAGTCCCTAACTAATAGAAGAATGAGTTAATGTATGCATTTAACTTAGAGCAGTGCCTGGTATGTAGTAAGTACTTCATAAGTGTTAACAACATCAACAATAATCATAATGATTATTATATTTCGTACCATTTTCCTCTCCCTCAACCCTGCCATTAAAACTTGCTAGGCTTATATTCATTCCCTATTAGCTTTTTGAGGTTATAAGCATCTAGTTTTAATTTATTTGCCAATTGGTGTTAATGGTTTCATATGATACTTGTCTTGGGGATTGCTGAGGAGGGCCAGCCACATTAGCTGCCTAGCTGTTTATCAGTCTATACCTGGCACACTTCTGCCTTGGGACCCTGTCCTTGCTGTTCTCTCTCCCTCAGATGCTCTTCCTAAGATATCCACATGGTGAATTCACTTAATTTGGGTCTCTGCTTGAATTCCAATTCATTAAAGGGGACTTTGCTGACATCTTATCTAAAATAGCAGCTCCCTTCCACCACCACCATTATTCTCTTGCCCCTTTCTCTGCCACATTTTCTAAATCTGTGTCTGGTAGTACTTCTCACACCTCACATAGATTTAGTTGTCTCCTAGTTTATTATCTGTCTCCCCCCATTAGAATGAAAACTCCAAAGGGCAACAACTTTGTTTCATTCATTACTGTATCATCAACACCTAGAACACAGCCTGGCATGTAGAGGGCATTCAATACATATTATCATAATAAGTGATTAAATTACTAAATCTAAAGGAATACATTTTAAAAAGTAGATATTTCAGCTGCTGTGGCAGGTTGAACGGGTAAGTATTTGAGACAAGAAGGGCCATCCTAGGGCCACTTTTCTTTTTCCTATCACAAAGACCATGATCTGCTCCACCTGTTAAGGCAGAGTTAATCACCTCTGTGCTCTCACAGTGTTTTACATATTTCTTTATTAAAGTGCACAGCACCTTCTACATCTATTCATGTGTCTGCTTCCTCACTAGACTGCGTAGCCTCAAGGACAGGAAGCACATCTTGTTGATCTTTGTATTCCCAGCACTTAACAGTCCTCTCAAATATTTGCTGAAAAATTGTGTAAAGTTGGGGTTGTCATAATTCTCACACAGTCTATATATTATTCCAAGCAAAGGACATTAAATAGATGCTAGGATAACTTTCATATTTTTCAACAGGTGAAGAGGGCGACACAACTTGCTTGAATTCAGCTGATGTTATGCCAGTTGCTTTCATGGAAACCAAGAACCAAGAAGGGTTAAATTATATGGTACTTGCTACCGAATGCAGTCAAGGTGAAGGAAATTCTGAGGGTCCTCTAGGCTCTAAGGAATCTGAATCTTGTGGTCTGAGGAAAGAAGAGAAGGAACCACATGCAGATAACGATTCCTGCCAAGAGAAACAAGTGGCTCACTGCCCTCCTGGCAAGCCTGAAGGTCTCAGCTATGCCTGTCTCACTCACAGTGGGCATGGAGGCGCTTCTGAGTAGTAGTGCTGTTTGGAAAATATGGAGTTGAGATAAATGAGGGCAGGCATATGACCTAGCCCTCATTAAGCAGTTACTGAAAGAAGACCCTAGAAGAAAGATTTCATGGTGGTCTGTGACTCCAAATTAACACTGCTAAATTCCCAAATTCTAATCTTAGTTCTGAGAGCCATTTGGTTTCAGTTGTAACAATCCCCATATCAACTGCCTAATCTGCAGTAGAATTGTGAGGTGAGCCACTGAGCATGTGGAAGGCTTAGGAAGAATCGTTAAGTCTGGGAGGGAAACACTGCTCTCTCTCTCCCCTGAAGTCCCTCAGGCCATTGCCCACCCTTCAGTCTGGGCTGTAATAAAATCTTGGTCAGTTGGTTAGAGATAGAAGTAGGTATGTTCAAGGACCTGAAGGAGAGGGGTAAGAAGTATGCTCAGGGGCTGACTGAAATCCAGATTCTCTCGAAGAAGACAGAGGAAATGACTAAATAAGTCTATACGTACAGAAGGAACCAGCACGTGTGACATGAGAAATCATCCGAAAAGCTATTACTAGAATAAAATATTATTTTCAATCACTACTGTAAATATTTTGTATTTTGGGGGCTTAGAACAGCAGCTTCAGTCATATTGAAACTAGGACCATGATCTTTCAGTCCTAATGTTTGCATTCTGAGATCTCTGGGTTGTATAAAAATCACTCTGCGACTTGTCTGTTATCATAGAAATTAACCAGTATAAAGATGGTTTTTATTTACCATATTGATTTTATATATAAAATACTTAAGATTACATTTAGTGTCAAATTATCCTTAAAATTAAATATAAGTGGTTACAATGTTATTTCAAGCTATGTGATTTTTAGCAACCATACAAAATATAAATAACTTAATAAAAACTATTTAAAAAATTCTTCAGAGAAACACTCTGACTTAAAACCAATATATATTTTTTGCAGTTACCCATTTAAATCATAAAGTTTAACTGCTCTAACAGCAACACGAATGTGACCATTCTGTGTGTTATTCAGTTGCCATATGTGGGATGATTGCTAAATACAGTATAGAGAAGAACATTTTGATCATAACACTTGCTAAACACTACTGTGTATCACGTACTTGCTTCCACCTTGAATAATTTAGTTAATCCTTTAACTTGCCTACTATCTTTGAACCTGCACAAATGATTGGCTGAATGGTGACGACTACAGAGACATGAATCTGTTAGTTCTGTGTTGAACAGGCCACAAGTTAAGGTCTGGGATTTGCGGTCACTCTGCCACCACATCTGGTATTCTGCTGAACAAGGCAGGATATTTTCTCTCTGCTCTTCTGATCCTCTGATGGGCATTTGTCACTCTTTTTGCTAGCTCCTTCATGTGCTGGAGAATTTTCAGCCTTTATCATCTGGGTGGGAGCTGTGTTCCATGTGCTCCTCCCAGCATCTTTTGCAGCAAGGAGGCAGGCATGTGACCTAGCCCTCACTGCTCAGACCCACCCACCCCAGGCTTCTAACTGAGAGCTAGGGATGCAAAGAAACAGGATGCAATGAGTCTTCCCTGGTGATGGTGGCAACTGAAGTAGTCTGGCTCCTGACACTGAGAAGGCAGTGATGCTGGAGGTGGCAGCCAGTGTCCAGGGCCAGAAAACTTAGTAGAGTGAGTCTGGAGCCTGGTGCCTCTGGCAGGCAGGGAAGCCAGACTGCACTGGTTCTGCTGTCTCCTCCTAACCATTGCTCCTGGCTCTGTAGTCTCCAAGTCTGACTCTCCAGCCCTCCCTGGGATTCTGTGAGTTACCTGCATACCCTCTCAATAATTAATTTTTTAAATTTTTATTTTTTAACATAAAAGCTTTATTGAGATATAATTCACATACCACACAATTCATCCATTAAAAGTATATCATTCAATGGTTTTAAATATATTCACAGAGTTGTACAGCTCTCACCACAATCAACGTTGGAATATTTTAATCACTCTGAAAAGAAACTTTGTACCCCCAGCCAAACAGCCTTTCTTATCATGGGGACCAGGTGCAGTTCCCACATATCCCTGAGTAGCACCTTTCAGTTCTCCACCAGCCTGTCAAATTATTCAAACAAGCCAACCATATCCTTCTGAAATTAAAAAGTCTACCTCCCACAGCCCCTGTTTGCTCACTCTGTTTCTGAATATATCTCCTATGTGGCCCTGTGTGGCATGTGATGCCCTTCTCTGCTAGGCTGTGAGTATATGTGACAATAAACTGCTGTGAATCTCATTTTTTCAGTGCTGGATGTCATGTGTTTGGCCATTCTCATAATCTTAGCCTGGGAGTCTTTCCCTCACCAGTGGGGTGAATAGGAGGCAATTAAAACAAGGGTCTCAATAGACGATCTGAGCAGACAGATGAAGAATCAGCACACTTAAAAATAGTCAATTGAGATGATCAAGTCTGAGGAGCAGAAAGAGAAAAAAATGAAGAAAAATGAGCCTCAGAGACGTGTGGGACAACATCACAAATACCAATATATGTATAATGAGAATCCCAGAGGTAGAGAAGAAAGAAATTGGGGCAGAAAGACTATCTGAAGAAAAAATGGCCCAATCTTCCCAAATTGGATGAAGAATCAATTTCTGTTGCTTGCAAACAGGTTTTTACTCTGCCAATGTCAAGGACCTTTGTTTTCAAATACACAAAGGAATCAGAAGTGTATAGAATAGGTTTTACAGTATAATATATTTGCATTACAATTTGGATAATAGAGAATTCATAGAACATCTGAGGGGAACAGCCAGTAAAATTCCTATGTTTTATCTAAGAAAAAGAACAAATTAGCAATCTTTTTTTTTAATAGTTCCTAATAAATAATACTGACAGAATATTTAATGCAAAATAAAATAGTGGATAAAAATTTCACATGTAAAATGTGTTACAGATAAAAATAATTGATAAAATATAATAGGTTGGTTAATTCTGTAATTACAAGTCTATAATTGGAAGTTAATTCTGGAAAAATTAAATCTTATAATCAAGAGGAAAAAATTGGCAATGGCTAAAAATCGCATTTGTTGAAAATGCATTATTTACTAAAAATTAACAGGAAAATAAAATTGTATTGATAAATTTTTTTTATCCACAAAAGGTAACCTGGGAATATTAAAATTTGGGAGAAATAATGGCTCACAAAGGCAGATGTTATAATTTGTAAAATTTTATATGAAAAAGCTGATCAATTCAATAAATCTAACCTTCACTTTGAATTGTTCAAGGAAAAGAAATAATCCAGAAGAAAAAATATTTAGGTAAGTTAAAAATGAAAAATATTGTTTATGGTTTAACACTGACAAATGAATAAATATTTACCTATGTACAAGTAAGAAATTGATATAATTATGATTAAATTACTCTACTCAGAACATCCTTGAGAAAAGAGCTTGTTTCTAGGCCTAGATACACTCCTCATTACTTATTCATGTTGGCTTTTTCTCACCTATTGGAATCTCCTTACCTTTTCAGAAGTCCCACTCAACATATAAGGCCAGCTCATACTCCAACTTTTTGGAAAGGTCAACCCCAACCCTCTCACTTCTCCTTTCTCAGAATTACTGTTGCCCTTATTGTCTTTACATCTCCCTAGGAAGTAACCACATATATTTTTATTCTGTTTCTATGTGTTTTAGCTGCTCAAATAAATCACAGGCTTTCTGAAGATAGGGTGGTGTCTTTCACTCCTTTGTATATTATCTAAGCCAAAGTAGGTACTTACATTTAAAGGGCTGATGGATTGATTTTCTCATCACATTTCCCAATTCATTTCAGAACAAGTCTTAGCTTGTGGCTTATACAGAAGGTGCCAGAAAGCTGATGCCAAGGTGAACTCAAAAGAATTCTTTCAATTCTTAGTTATCTCCTGAGACCTTGACAGACAGATTATATAAATTGGGGGAATGATTTGAGGTTCAGATCAGAGGTACATGAGGACTGAAATTCTGGAAGCCCTTGAAATGATGGTGAACACATGCTAAAGGAGGGCAAAATTTATTTTATCATTCTTAGTTTCTCCCTTCTCTCACCCAAACCCACCTTTTGTCCTCAGAATGGCCTCTATGGATGTAGGATAAATGTTAGGGTTCCCTTGACTTCTCCATGACACTCTCTCCTTGGAAAAAGGAAGCCTGTCCAAGTTTCCTTTTTGCAGTTGGCCAGAGCTACAGGATGCCTGAATCAGATGACCTATTCCAATCCTTCCAGGCTTCTTCACACACAACCAGAAGAATTAAGGGGCCAAAATATACCCTCCAAATGCTATTGTTAATATTTAAAAATATTTCCTTCCAGTTTTTTTTCTCCCCCAATGCGAACTTATTTTCATGGCTGGAGTAGTTGTAGTTGTACCTCTCCTGTTTTGTTTGTTTTTTATTCTTTTCGTAAGCTTTGAAAGCTTATGAAATTTTTGCATAACCTTTCCCTTTTGTCATTGAAAATTTTTCTTACATAATGTTTTCCTTTGAGCACTGAAAAGTTTTGGTATGTGTTTCTAATGTCTGCATAAAATCCCTTAGAGAGGATATATTATAACTTAATGCTCCCATGTAGATACACATTCATTCATCAGCTCATTCAATAAATATTTATTTATGCCTACTATACAGCAAGCATTGTTACAAGGGATACAAATAGAGCAAATAAACAAATAAACACATAAATAAAAGCAAATAAACAAAGCAAAGTCTCTGCCTCAATGAAGGTTACATTCTAGCATTCTAAAACAACAAAAATACACATATAGCTGAGGAGCAAACTCGGTATTCCATAGTGTTGCAGAGCTCTTGATGTTTAAATGCTCAGTCAAGGTATGTCTGTTGAGAAAACATGGGCCCCTAAAACATAAGACAAGGGTATTTGGATGGCTGTCCGAGGGTTTTGGCTCAGCAAAACCTTCTGATCCCTCCCAGCTTGTAGAGGTAGCCGATCCCTCCAAAGTAAGAGCTAGCTCTTTCTCTGTAGAGGAAGACATGTCAGAGGCCTCTTCTCAACCACGCCACAGGTGCTCCCTTGGAAGCTGCACCCACCTCCTCTCCTGATTGCCAGGAAGATAACTAGAATTAAATCCCAGCATAGTTTGATTAAGGATATACTGCGTCTGACAAAGGAGGAAAGAGATTAGATCTCAAAAGAGCTCCAGGAATTAGCTAACGTACTGGTGGGAGCCAGGGGAGTAATGCTAGGATTCCATTCTGAGGTGCTTGATCAAGAGAATGGGAAGGTAAGACTGGATAAGCAAGAAGGATTCATTCACTGGTTTGGACTCTCCTAGGACATCAGATTTAACATCCTGGAAAAGACGCATGCACATGGGGCAAACTTGTGGCTAGGGTGGCCTCAGAAGCCTGGAGAAAACTAAGGTCCATGCTGAGTTTCCCTATCAGAAGGTAGAGAAAGAAATAAAGAAATAAAAAGTCTGAGGGAAGTGGGAATGTTGGCATGGACCTATCATGTGAGGCTGGAAGACCTAGAAGAGGACACATTTACCAAGGTCATCGAGAATGTGCTGATGAGAGGGGCACCTCCCTAAGCATCATTGAGCTTCTCAGGCCAGAGAGAGGCAGTCACAGAGCTGGGCTTGATAGTGATGCATGGGCACAGTGCAGGCCTGAAATTACAGAGGCCAGATGGCTGCACTTGTCTACCAGAGGCCAGGGCACACTCAACACTATGATGATGGAGAGGCAGCCAAAGGGGCTTGACAATGGAGAGTTGTGGAGATGACTAGTAAAATAGATGGGCAGCCAATCCTTAACTTATATACAACCAGTAGAAGTCTGTATTAGTCAGGGTTCTCCAGAGAAACAGAACCAATAGGATACATAGGTAGGAAGATAGATGATAGATAGATAGATAGATAGATAGATAGATAGATAGATAGATAGA